AAAAAAAAAAAAAAAAAAAAAAAAAAAAAAAAAAAAAAAAAAAAAAAACGATTTTAAAATATGACTGTCCTGGAAACAAAATTTTTCTTATTCTCTCAATAATATAGAATAATAAATTATTTAAAAATAATAACCTGAGATAGATTCAATTTCTTCGACTTTCTCCCTAAGCTTTTGGATACTGCCAGTTTCCTTGAGAGCTTTGATAAGTATCTTCACAGCCATAATTTCTCCGACGTACATTTCAGCTCTGAGCATAACTCCAATGACCTTACACTCGACGTCGTGGTACTCCTTCCAAGCGCTTTCACGGCATTTGTGACTGCAATAAACGACGTCGACACACGACAAACAGGGGATAGGATTGAGGCATTGAGTAGTGCAATACCAGCAATGATTGTAAAAATGCTCTGGGTAGAGCGAGGATGCGTATGATTGATGAAGAACCAAAGCTTCACCAGCTTTGATGTCACGGGTAGCTACAAGATGTCTACCATACTTTGCAGAATATTTCAAAGCGACAGCGCTGCTGGCTCGCATGATTTTCGGATTTCCTTGGGGACCATTGGGCAGATACTCGGAGGCGAACCAAATTTCACGAGGCTCTGGAACTGTTTTATTCTTCTTTAGCTTAGCAATGACAGCCTGGGTAGTTTTCTTGTTAGCTGGGTCCATTTTCTCTGACCAGAACTGCGCTTTTTGCAAACAATTGTCAACGCCACGCAATGAGTTCGGAAAGCGCGCGATCAAGCATTTTGTCTGCCGAACATAGAGCTTCGCTTTGAGGTTTTCCGGGTAACCGATCTCCAGAGCGTCATTTACGTCATCCAGTGATGATTCGTAAAATCTTTCATTGCAGAGTATCGCTGAACGATTTGCATACGCCTTGGCCATCACTTCTGACTTCTCTGGTGCGTATGCTAGTCCTTTAGTGTACAAACTCAGCACGTCTTTGTAGTTTAATGAAGAAAGTTTTTTAGATGTGTCATTTATTATTTCCAACGCTTTTGTTGCTGATTTTGACTCTTCGTTAATTGTCAACAGGTCTTGATTTAATCGCATTATTTCAACAGCGTACCTTATTTTATTTTTGTCAGAATAAGATTCTAGAGTGTTCAAGTGTGGCATCCCTCTTAGACGCCACACTATACTCGGATTTTTCTCGACATAATTATCTATAAAAAATCATTAATTAATTTTTACTGATAATATTTAAAAAAAATATGACACTGAAATACAATACTAAAGTTAATGAAATTTATTGTAGCATTATTCAAGTTGATGATTTTTTTAATAAAAAATTATTACAAAAAAAAAAAAAAAAAATTTTTCATTTGTTAAAAACTTCAAAAACTATAAGTGCAATTTTTTAAAAATATTTTTTAGTTATAATTTAAAATTTAATAAATTAAGCAAAGTAAAAAAATTAAAAATGTCGGCTCAGTTCATTATTATCTAAAGTTAGGGGACATTTTTAATTTTTTGATTATTTTTCATTTATTAAAATTAGAACTAAAAAATATTTTTAAAAAATTGCTCTTATAGTTTTTCAAGTTTTTTACAAATGAAAATTTTTTTTTATTTTTCTGTAATGATTTTTTTAATAAAAAAAAAAATTCTAAAAATTATCAGATGTTTTTCAATTTCAGAATCATAAAAAAAATAAGTTTGTAAAAATAATATGTTACCTGTTGCTTGATTTTGCGCCATAGTTTACCAAAAATTCAGTATAATAATTATTAAATTATAATTTCTTTTTTATTAATTATCTTTTATTTATCAGAAAATATCTGTGTAATCAGCTGACAAGATTAATTATTAATGAATAATTTACATATTAATCTTGATGTCTAACAGACTAACTCTCAATGTTAACAGCACAATGGACGTTCTCAAAATGTACAATGTAATTACGCAAAACGCAAATGCCGGTAAAAGCATTGTTGTGCCCACGGAGGCTAGATAGAAGCAGGAGAAGGACGCTCACCATGTGTTGCACAAGTACCCACCAAAATTGGAGGATACATTATTTTCCACACCTCTCACTAGAGCGCATCAGTGTTGCTAATGTCAGGTTTTTTGAATTTTTATCCGCGGAATGTATTGTTTGCATTTATAGAAAATTGCATTTTTAGAAAATCTAAAAAACTATCAGTGTATTTTTTTACAATTTATTATTTTTAATTATTTAGCTTTTTCTTTAATTAAAAAAAAATTTAATTAATGCCTGATAGATTCATGGTGATAATAAATAAATATTTATTAATGAATAACCAACGATAAATAAAAAAAGTTTGGAAAATTCAAAAGCGCACGCCTCATAATTTTATTTTTCACAATAAAATTGATTAAAATAAAAGATAAAGAAAAATAATAAAAAACAGAAAACTCTGCTATAGTTTAGTGGCCCTCTTTTTCTTTAATTAAAAAAAAATTTAATTAATGCCTGATAGATTCATGGTGATAATAAATAAATATTTATTAATGAATAACCAACGATAAATAAAAAAAGTTTGGAAAATTCAAAAGCGCACGCCTCATAATTTTATTTTTCACAATAAAATTGATTAAAATAAAAGATAAAGAAAAATAATAAAAAACAGAAAACTCTGCTATAGTTTAGTGGCCCTATAACTCTAAGGTGGGGAAAAAAAATACTATAATAAAATGTATAGATAGATATACAAAAAAATCCACAGTCATATATTAGTTTTTTATAAATAATAATTTAACGGCAGTGAATTGAACGCTCATATTAATTAAGAAAATCCGTCGTGTGTTACTTTAGATAATAAAAAAAGAATTATTCCGGTACGATCATTTTTTCGACCAATTTCCCTGCCACATACACCCATTTATACACGGACGTCCACAAAAGATTATGTTTAAGATTAATGTTATTATTTATTATGTTAAACAAAAAAATTGTTATTGAAATATATTTTATGTGCCTGACAAATTATTTGACTTGATATAAGTTTACTCATATTAACCTGTAAGTGCGATATAAATAACAAAAAATCAATTTCAGTTTCAAGAAAACTGCTTTTTTTGAAATGTCGAGAGTAGAGCACAACCTCAATGCTTCGCTTATGAGGCGTGCAATAGGTCAAAAATAATACTAAAATTATAAATACAATATTACATCTCATCTTTTCCGGCTATAGTTAAGGAAAAGTAGAATATTAAAAAGGAAAATAATTCAATTTATATTGAAAAATAATTTATTAGTTTTATAATTGGAATTTTACAAGACTAGAAACAGTAAATACGTATTCTTTTCATACGTAAATTTTTTTTGAAAGATACATAAAAAAATGAATTTGAAAAAAAAAAAGTTGATTGTCACAATTTTAACAAATTTTCAAAAAAATTTATAAAAAAAAATACATATCAAAAACATCAAAAAAAGATAAAATAAAAATTTTATACAAAAACGTGAGCCAAAATTTTTTTCAACTTTTTAAGGTAAAAAAGCTATCGAAATCTTTATTTTTTTTTTCACGTAGTGTTCATGTATTGGTATATGAGCAGCTACTGGGGCTTTTACTTTAGATATGCCCAAAAATAGGATGGACCCCACTTATAAATAATTACCAAATTCATTAATGTCTGCTAGGTTTGTGATCATAAAGTAAACAGACATTTAAAAATTTTTTGATTTTTTGAATCAATAAAAATTATAAGTAAAAAAAATATTTTAAAAAATTTGTAAAAATTTTCAGATGTCGGCTAATTTAATGAAGATCCTATAATATAAAATTGATTATTGAACTGAAGTTACTTTAGTATCGAAAATCTCGAAACAATGGTTACTGATTCCTTCTTGGTTCGGATTAACGCGCGCGCGTATGCGCGCAATTTGAATTCCTAGTATAATAAAAAATAATACATATTTTATTACCTCGAAAGACAAAATAAAAAAGTTATTTTAAAAACTTTATTTTCTCATAAAAATAACAAATCAACCCCATACAAAAAGTCAATTAATCGAATCGAGTTCGTCCAAGAAAGTGCGACATTTTTTTTTGAGAACCTTGACAGCTTGCAGGAACAAAACTCCAGGCTCGACAGCGCCAACCGACTCTACATTAAATATAAAATGATCCGCAATACGTTCAAGCTTGACACTATTTTTCAATGATTCGTGCCGAAAGACGTTTCTCGAGCAGTTGTCGTACCGTGCATCTACGAGTCGTGCTTCAAGTTCGCCTCTTTTTTCGTTTTTCACCAGTTCAATGGTCCCTTTACTGAAGCTCTTTTCGAGGAGGTCTGCCTCGGTTCCAAAGAACCGCCTTTTGAGGGTGATTACCGGCATCAAACGGTAGCTGGCAGTCGCGACAGGCGAGAACTTTGCGTGGTCTTTTCCAATTCCCTTAACAGCGTAGAGTATCGCATCGATTTCCTGCCCGGGGACCATCTTGGCGATCAGAATTTCATCCTCCAGCATCCCGAACAATTCTTTGCCATTGGGATATAACTCTGACTGCCTATGCAGAGGTATCCACTTGATGGCTTTGCTTTTGACCCTGCTGTTGTTGTAAATGTCCTCAGGAAGTCGCGAGTATTTATCCGCACTAGTATTCTTTGAGCAAATTACCTTTAATTCGTACTTGAGAGTGGTTCCGTCGTTCATCTCAGCTTCGTCGTCGAGTCTTTCATCAGCTGTGCAATACTCGAACAGTGAGGGGTCGGCTTTCAGCGGCAACAGGCCCAGCCTGTGAGCTAAGACCTCATCCTGGATCAAACTGGTGTTCATCAAGATGTGAACCTTGTCGATGGCCATCGACGGCACCTCACTCAGCAAAATTCGACGGAATGCATTTATCAACGCTGCTGTACAACCAATCATGTCAAACTCTAGCTCCCGTTTATCTTCCGACTGTCCCACTATATTCACTTTAAAATTTTTACGGAACCTATTTATGTCCCATTTGTTGAACTGAAAATTTGAGTATTCAGCAGCATTTGGAATTCCATATTCTTCTATTGATATTCTTGGGACTTTCTCCATTTTTTTATTTCACCTATTTTTAATTAATTTGTTAGGTTATATTATTTTTTTTAATAAAGTAATAATAATTATTTTAGAACTCACCTTTTGTTGAGGATTTATTTGTTTTTTTTATTTAAAATTGTTTTCTTGATAATTGTTATGATTATTTTTATTTAGTCTTTCAAATAAAATAAATTAAAACCGAAATTATTCACGGCGTGGAACACATACACGTGTTAGGCTTTATTATTGAAATGATTTCAGCCAGTGCGTAGTTAGCGTAGTTGCGCACTCCCTGATTTCAGAATTTCAGCGGAAGCTAATGCGCATGAGCGAATACTCAAGTCAACTAACTGACCAATCAGAGTTTTTTAATTTTCATAGAAACAAGCGTTGTTGAGATTGGTCAATTATTTACATATTGGCAAATCAGTCGGGGGCGTGGCTTCTCCTTGCGGCAGAAGCAGTTATATTACTGTAAGGTAAAAGTCCCTATTATGAGACACTTTTCAAGGTAGGTTGAACATTCCTGCGAATAATTAATCCATTTAAGAAAAAAATACAATTTTAATCGCATTATACGGTAATTTGATTATCATTAAATCAATCTTTCTATTGTTTTTATAATTTTTTTGTTTAAAAATTAATTAAATTATGGTTATTTAGGGAAACCTACATGACCCTATTTATGAGACACTTTAAAGTCACATATCCCCAGTGTCTCAAACCACAGGACCCTATTTTTGAGACAGTTAAAAAATCAGCAAAGTTGATCAAATTTTATATATTTATTAATTTTAGACAATCGTATTTACAAAAGAAGGAATTACTTTAATTTTTAATTAACTTATAAAAAATTTTTTATCAGTTAAACAAATAATAAATGCAAATTATTGAATTAAATCTATTTTGCTTTCTTGATTTATTTGTCATTTCTTGACTTGAGCCATTAATTTTTTTTTCTTGTAGTATTTTTTTATTGTTAAATTTTTCTTCTTTCATGTTTTTTCTGGATCTGAATTTTCTTTTATAAGTTCTGAAAAAAAGTCACATTAAGTTAAATTTATTGAACATGAATGTGAGATTGACATTTACATACCTAATTGATGAACTTTGTTGTTTATAAGATTTGTAGAATGAATATTTGTGAGCTCTGTTATAATCTCTCTGGGTTTTGCAGATATATCTTCATTGCAGATATGTCTTCACTGAAGTCTCTAGAAATGCACCGTATTACTATCAATTGATGATTCTTGAAGACTAACTTGATTAGATTCATATATAACCGTAAAAAATTGTTCATCATTAATTAAATTATTTTGTTCACAGTTTATCACATTAAAATGATTGTCTAAGACAGTAACGGATTGTTATACGTCTTCAATAATTCAGTTTTTGTACGGCGTTCACCGCCCAACTTTGAGACGCGCTATTTAAATTACATTTAAAAATAATCTAGCTATTACAAATATTTTAAAATTTTTATTACATAAATAATTGAAAAATTGAATAAAAAAAAAAATCACAGTTTTTAGATCATGTTAATTAATTATAAAATCATAACAAAATAATTTTTATTCAAAAAGAAGAAATAAACTTTGACGCCATCTTTAATGAAAAATTGGAACTGGAAACAATGACTTGTATATATTTCTTACTCTAAAATATTTAGAAAATTTTACATTATTATGAAATACCGCCCAGTGCGGCGAAGAGATATTTTTTTAATGTACCTTACAATCCGCACCTGCGTTTAATATAATTTCGGTGAGTTGTTGGTCATTTATTTCAAGGCTTAATCCAAGAGCAGTTTCTCCATATGATGATTTATAATTTACGTCTGCACCGTTTTTATCTTCATTTCTGTTGGCGATTGCCAGCAACAAGGGGTTTCGAGTGAAATACATTTCAATTATTGATGACTCCTCTTCTGAATCTTGACTATTAGCTTCTATATCTACAACTGCCTTGTTTAATAAAAGCAGTTCTACAATTTTTTTGTTGTTTTGCGATACTGCGAGGTGTAACGGAGTACAGTTGGTATTTGTCTTAAACACGCCATATTTTTTTTTAGTAAAAGTTAATGGATAGTGACAAACAGCGTTAATGTCTTCTCCGAGATCCAAAAGATTTTGTACTTCTTCAATGTCGTCATCGGCCACAGCTTTATGTAATAAATTTACATGGTGTGTAGAGCAATCGAGTTCTTCTGTCATTTTCTGTGAAAAACAAAAAATTCAATTAATATTATTTTTTAATACATGATGCTACTAGATTAAACAGATACAGAGCGCGTCATTGATTCATACCAGTTGTTCTACTTTTGGATAGTTATCAGATTAGTGTTAATCAGAAAACTAGCTTATTGTTTTTTTTTACGTATTGTTTAAACCACTTAAAATATTAACTTTTAAATAATATTAACAAAGAAATATCACTCCTCACAATGTAAGACGTAATTACGCAAATGCCGGTGAAAGGAATAACAATGAAATTTTTGAAATAAATTTGTACGGTACAACGTGTATCATTCATGAGGGGTTACTTTGAGTATTTTCGGTTCTTCACTTTCTTTCGTTTGAAACTTGATATTCGGGTACAGTCGTAAATTCGTACTATTATACTATTATTGTCAGTTATGTGAAATGTAAACAGTATATAATAAGTACAATAAGCAAAATAGATTTAATTATAAATTTATTTTCAAATAAAATACACGATATAAATACATAACTTTAAATAATTAGATAAATTTATTAAATTTTTAAATTCATATTAATTTTTTAAGCCGCTAAATTAATTATTGCACTCAGTATAATTGTTTATTTTTATTTATTAAGTGTTGCTTATTATTATTATTATTATTATAACACTGAAGTTGACAGACATTAGAAATTTTTTTTATAATTTTTTACCAAAAAAATTATTATGAAAAAAATTTAATTAAAAAATTTGAAAAAAAATGTTTATTATTGTAATTTATTTGTTGTAAGAATTTAAAAAATTGACAGCTGTCAGATCACTTCAGTATCATTCATAGTGTTTTATATATAAGGTATAATACTACTGATAATTAACAAATATATGACATTACAGTTAGCAGTCACTTGATAATTTATTAATTTTTTTTAACAAACAAATTTATCAAAAAAAATTATTTTAAAAAAATTGCATTTTTAATTTTTTTTT